GAATTCATTATCACCCGGGAAAGGCTAATGTCGTAGCAGATGCCCTTAGTAAGAAAGGCTATTGTAATGCTATGGAAGGACAACAGTTGCCATTGGAATTGTGCAAGGAATTTGAAAGATTGAATCTGGAAATTATCAGTAGAGGCTTTGTTGCAGCTTTGGAAGCAAAGCCTACTCTCATTGATCAAGTTAGAGAAGCCCAAATCAATGATCATGATATTCATGAGATCAAAAAGAATATGAGAAGAGGTAAAGCTATCGGTTTCTTGGAAGATGAGCAAGGAACTGTATGGTTGGGTGAGAGAATCTGTGTCCCCCAGACAACAAAGATTTGAAAGATGCAATTCTGAAGGAAGCCCATGATACGTTATACTCCATTCACCCTGGTAGTACTAAGATGTACCAGGATCTCAAGGAAAGATTTTGGTGGGCAAGTATGAAGCGCGAGATCGCGGAATATGTAGCAGTATGTGATGTTTGTCATCGAGTCAAGGCAGAACATCAGAAACCCGCAGGTTTGCTGTAGCCTTTGAAGATTCCTGAATGGAAGTGGGAGGAAATCGGTATGGATTTCATCACTGGTCTACCCAGAACGTCGTCAGGTCATGACTCTATTTGGGTGATAGTCGACAGACTTACCAAAGTGGCTCATTTCATCCCAGTAAGGATCACCTATTCCGGAAGTCATTTAGCAGAATTGTATATGGCAAGGATTGTTTGTTTGCATGGTGTTCCTAAGAAGATCGTGTCCGATCGAGGTAGCCAGTTTACTTCAAAGTTTTGGAAGAAACTTCAGGAGGAGATGGGTTCCAAGCTGAACTTCAGTACTGCCTATCATCCGCAGATAGATGGACAAACCGAAAGGGTAAATTAGATATTGGAAGACATGTTGAGAGCTTGTGCTTTAGACTTCGGTGGAAGTTGGGATAAGAATTTGCCTTACGCCGAATTCTCGTACAACAACAGTTATCAAGCTAGTCTCCAGATGGCTCCTTATGAAGCACTGTATGGTCGGAAGTGTTGCACTCCGCTTTTGTGGGATCAAACGGTAGAACGTCAGGTTTTCGGAACTGATATCCTGAGGGAAGCAGAGGAAAAGGTAAAAATCATTCAAGAAAGACTGCGGGTGGCTCAGTCTCGTCATAAGAGCTACGCCGACAATCGCCGCAGAGATCTAAGTTTTGAAGAAGGAGATTATGTGTACCTTCGTGTCACGCCACTTCGAGGGGTTCATCGTTTTCACACTAAAGGAAAATTGGCACCGCGTTTCGTGGGACCTTACAAGATTGTCAGTAGAAGAGGAGAGGTCGCTTATCAGTTGGAGTTACCTCAATCTTTGGCAGGAGTCCATAATGTGTTCCACGTGTCGCAGTTGAAAAAGTGTTTAAGGGTACCTACCGAAGAGGCTAATCTTGAACAGATAGAAGTCCAAGAGGATCTGACATATGTTGAGAAACCAATCCGTATCTTGGAGACAGATGAGAGAAGAACCAGGAATAGAGTTATCCGTTTTTGCAAGGTCCAATGGAGTAATCACTCAGATGAAGAATCCACTTGGGAACGAGAAGATGAATTAAAGTCAGCTCATTCGCATCTGTTCGCTAGTTCTTCCGAATCTCGAGGACGAGATTCCGTTTAAGGGGGGCAGGTTTGTCACACCCTAAAAATCCCAAATATATAAATTGTTGTTTAATTGGAATTATTAGAATTTATTTTAAAAGCCTAGAAGAGAAGATCTAATTTTTAATTAATAAATTCCAATATAAAATGGGGCCAGATAAAATTTTATTAAATACTTTGCTTAATTCTATAGTTCCTAGATTTTTCTAGGATTTATTTGAGCTAAGGAAGTATTTTTAATAAATGAAATTGCATTTCATGAAAAATTTAAATTGAAAAAGGTTTAAAAAGTTCTCTTTTGGCTAGTCGGCCCAAACCTCTCTCTCTCTCCCTCGGCCCATGTCGGCCCAAACTGAGCCGCCCGCGCGCGCGCTCCCGTCGCTGACAGGTGGGTCCCACCTGTCGGTCGTCGTCCACCTCCAGCAGACCGCCGGCCGAAACCCTAGCCACCGCCCCTTTCCAATTCGGTCGCGCCGTTCCTTCTCCGGTGAAATTGGTAGAGGGGAAAGGATCCCCTTGATCTCCTCTATCTTTTCCTCTATAGGAACTTTGTCTAATTTCCTTTGGAAATCGTCGGATTCGAGTTTGATTCGGATTCGTTTTTCTTCCCCCAACCCTAATCTTTCCATCGCCGTCGCCGGTCGCCGCGGGCCTCCACAGCCGCCCCTAGGCCCTTTATAAGGACCCCCGGTGTCTCCTCTACCCGCCGCCACCTTCGCCTTCGCTCGCCGCCGTTCGTAGAGCTCTAGCCGCGTTAGCCCGTGCGCCGCCGTCGCCGTAGTTCGTCCAGCCATGCGCCGCCGCCGCTCCGGTCGTCCTCGTCGCTCGGGAAGGCCACCGCCGTGTTCGCCGAGTGGCCGCTGACCTTGTCCACCCCTCCGACAACGCCGAGGACCGCCGGAATATCGCTGTCGTCGTCGACCCGATCGTCATCGCCGCTCATCCTCGTCACCGTCGTCGTCCGGTCACCGTCCGCCGCCGTTCGTGCCTCGGTAAGGTTTGCTGTGTCGCCCGCATTGCGTAGGTGTCCTCCGTTTGTGCCGTCGCGCTGTCGTTCGCCGGCGAGCATGCGCACCCGAGCTGTCGCCGGTGATGACGTCACCGCCGACGTCATCGTCGTCTTCTCCCGTGGACCGCGATGGATTAGATCGATCCCGGCCGTTCGTTTCGTCTTAGATCGATCTCGGCCGTCCGTTTTCGTGAACAGCCGCCGTGCACCCGGTCCACCGTAAACCTGACCCGCTGACGCAATAATTCCCTTTTCCTTTTCAAAAATAATTCATTATTGCGTCATTATTCAATTAAAATCTATATAAATGATTTAATCCGATTTAATCTTCAAAAATTCATAATTAATTCATCTTAGCTCGGATTTAGTTGGTTCAAGTCTCTAAATTTTTCTAAAATTGAGATTTACATGTTAAAAATATCCACATGTACTATTCATGCTTATTTATGTGCTGGTTTATTGATTTTGTTCTTTTCTCTTTAGATTTCGACGTTCCGGGAGAGTCCGATTTTGCAGGAGAAGACTTTGAGGAATTCCAAGGCCAGCAAGACAAGTCACACAAATCCCAAACAACCTTTTGAGCATGTTGATCCCGTTTAAAGCTATTGTTTCTATTCAACTATTGCATTTATTTTCGAATGTAATTAGGTGGAATTCACCTATTGTTTGTTATGGCCCTTTTGTTCTTGATTACTTTAATCCTTGATACCTTAGGCTATTATAATTTGACTAGTTGAGCTTTATATGATGGTTCAGCTAGATATTAGACATAATTGCTTTGTCATGCTTAGAAGCATTAGTTCACTACGGGGATAACTTATGATTCACTATTATTTAATGATGGATTAATGATAGCTCATGATGGTTAATCATGAATGGTTAATTAATTAATTTGCCAACTAAAACCTGATAATGGTGGGTTGTGAGCACATGGTTTTGATGATCGTGCTCATGACAATTAAGGACCGGTTCACGATTTTCGGCTGTGAAACATTTACCATGCCAACCACAAGCCAGCGTGGGCAACGGCTTTATTTTCTATATAGTATGGTTCATAGTAGAGCACCAGACTGTGAAGTGGCGGAGATAAGCCCACGGGGGTCGCTGGGGAGTCCATACCTTGTTCATAAGGGAGTGATTATGATCCGGGAACGGTGCACTGCTTTGAATTGTATTATATAGAGGGTATTGTCACAATCTCTATTCGGGTACTTGTCAAGTATCGTGACGCATGGTTGACATGATGTTGAGGTTGTGTGTTGTGGGTACAGTGGTACACCTCTGGCCAGAGTTTGAACTATTCGAATAGCCGTGCCCGCTGTTATGGGCGGGTCTAACAATGTCTTTCGTGATTAGTCTCACACTTTACACTCTAATAAATGACGATGTTAATGACTTGATTAGCTCCTGGTTTGGAATAGTTAATTCCTGGTTTGGAGATTGAACTGTACAGCCGAGGTTGGTTGTTCAGTATGGTTGGGCCTATGCAACAGGGTGTGTTGTATAGCGTTGGATTAATATTGTTGAAATATTATTTAACTATTTTATTAAATTCTGAAATATTTATTAAATGTTGTTTATGCAAATGAGACAATATTATGCCATCCTTTGTTATCCTGTGCACTTGCATATTTGCTGCGTGGCTTGCTGAGTATGTCATATACTCACCTTGCAATCATTTATCAGAGGAGGAGTTCTACAGTGATGCCGATGGAGTGGATGATTAGGCGTAGCCCTGGTCAAGCTGCATGTGGAGAGGAGTCGCCTGCGTTGTTTCTTTTATTTTCCGTTGCTTAGAACTTTATTGATTGAGAGGAACTATCTACCTCTGTAATGACATTTTATTCTCTTATTAATTAGAGTAATAATTGTACTCTATTATCAATTTGTTATTATGTACCTCGGCTGATTTCTGGACAAGGGTTTCTATACGTGTAAGCGTTTAGAATTTTAGATAGAAATTCCGGGCGTGACAAAATAACACTTAATATAGCATGTGGAGTGATGAGCAGCTAATAGGTGGACACAATGGCTATTAAGTGCTCATCATTTGAGACACAAAAGATTCACAATATCCGTGCTGAAGTATTTGTCCAAATTGGAAAGCTATTTTTGGTTGGCATCAACTACAAGAAAAAAACACACACAAATCGAGTTGGCTCGTTTGTTGTTTACTTGTTTAATAAATTCCTCTAACAGTTTACGGATGAAATCTTTAATTTATTTTATTTTAATCTATATTTAATACTTCGAATGTGTTTTCGTTTATGTCAAAAAAAAAATTTTGAAGGAGAAACTAAACACGGCCCTAAGTTGGGTTTTCAATAGTTCTCCCAAATTTGGGCCCGATTGCTTCAGCCCAAGTAAAAAAGACGGACTTGGGCCTCGCGAACTCAACTACACCGGTAAATCCGTTCCCCACCTCGTCGTCTGAGCATGGACGACGACGACGACGAGGTCGCCGCCGGCGAGGCTGGACCTGCGCCGGCGGCGGCGGCGACGGGAGGCCACGCCGACCGCGTATTCCGGGCCCTCGCGCTCGCCTCCCTCTACATCCTCTTCCGGCGGTGGCGCGCCGGTGGGGCCGGCCTCGCGGAGCGGCCGTCGCCGGCCGAGATCGCGGCGGCCGTGGCGCTGTGCGCCTCCGTGGCGTGGCTCTACGCGCTCCCCGCCTTCGGGATCCGCCGGAGCAGCGAGATCTCCACCCGGCGGTGGCACCAAGATTAGTCGACAACTCGACATGCCCTGGGGGTAACCACTCTGTTTCTCTTCACCCCCATTTTTTTTTCTTTTTTTTTGTTCGATTTGATCTCTGGTCCATGACTCCATGTGATCTTGAAGCAAAGCAAAGAAATAATGATATGTTTCAATTCGAGCATATAATTGCATGAGATTTTCCTAAGCTTCGAAAGAAATGGGTAGCTACTGATCTGAGCCTTGAGGTGTATTGCTCACTGTCTTTAAAGAGAGCACTGCACTGTGGCCTGAGCCAATCGGTTCTACTGCCATGAATTGTTACAAACAGCGAAGCAGATCTAAACACTAACAAGCATGTCAATAGCTGCCTTTCTCAACTGCAGAGTGCCTACCATGTCCTGAACTACAGGGCTCAATTATTTCTCCAAATTTTTGTTAGGTTCTACTGCTAGAACTAGAAGTGTATATGCATGCAATTTTCTCGATACTGCCCATTCCCAATTACTACAACCCTTTTCTTTTTTGCATGCAATAATTAATAGAAACTCGTTCTCAATTTTTTTTATAGAAACCCTGAAAACATTTATCTAAGAGGGGAGATCAGAACACCCTTCATCTGATGGAATGTATGGAGCGCATTATAGGAGGCCTGGTGTGCCTACTGTTGGTCTGTTTTTCTTCATTGTGTTGTTGGCCATCTGAGCCCGCCAACACCCTAGGACCTCAGGCCATAAATAGACATTATTTTGGTACTCCATTTCTTACATGGTCTTGCGCCTTTTTTATTTTGTTTAATATACTTCTTCTTTCATTGTCTTAACTCATTGGAAAACCATGTGTTGCCATTGCTTTTTATGCATTTGCAAACTACAGGCCTGAGAAAAAGAAATGAAATCTCTTGTTCTCTCGATGCTTATGCATATGGACTGCTATGAGGTGACAATGCTCCTACATGTGAAAATAGAAAAAAAAAGGTCGGTGGTGACCCACGAAATAGTTTCTGTTAATCTTTTGAAATCCAAGAAATGCCCTTCTCACTCTCTTATCACTATATTCATCAAAGAGGGTTTTGTATTCCCTATATAAAATTATATTACGCTGTAAAGTTTTTTCGAAAGCATTGTGTTTGAAAATAATGCTTAGATCTTTTTGTTGTATCTAATCCTAAACATAGTTCAATAATTGGGTAAACATCCAAAGCCTGATGGGTACTGCTTTTGCATGTTCATGCTTATGCCCTCATGGATAATTACACAGAATATCAGGTCTAGGTGTCCGCCATAATTTCTAGGAAAATTATAACCTCCAAGTTAACCGGTGTGCAGTTCCTCAAATTAGATGGAACAGGCAGGAAGCTCCTGTGATTCACCGTTAGAAGAAGATATCTGATTTAGTTTATAAGGAAAATCGAACCCAACATCCTTACAACAATATGATTAACTATAGAAAAACCCTAGCACTGACAAAAGCGAGCTAACATGCGGACCGAGACACTCAACCTAAGAACAGTGGTCCAACAAGAGAAAACCACTAAAACGAAGCCTTTGAGAAGGACACGCCGACAAAACAATGACATTGCCTGATTAAAACCAATGTTCTAAATAGTGGGCTAAGACATTTAGCGGATCAGCTCTCCAATAGCTAAGAAAATCTATAGCAGGCTATATCAGCAGCTAAGCAATATAGCGGTTTTGGAAAATACTAGGGAAAAAAATTGAAAAATTTGACAAAATTTGGGCTAAAAATGACACATTACTGTCACATGGTCAATTGAACTCTACATGAACAATATAGCACATGACATATATATATAATATTTGGCATTTGCACAATATGAATCAAAGAACAAAAATCTTACTTACCATCAGAGGAGTGGTGCTGCTCGTGGGAGAGGAGGGATGGGGAATGGCCGAACGGGAGAAGGAATAGTGGCTTTAATAGACAGTGGAGTAGATAATAATAGTGCCGTCGCTGCTCGTCCCAGGCAGAGCCGCTGCCACTACTTGGGGAGAGGACTAGAGTAAGGACTGGGGATGGGATTGGTGGATGCCGTCGCGCCAATCCTCCTCCTCCACTGTCACGCACAACAGTCGCCGCCACCACCGCCGTTCACGAGAGAGAGAGAGAAAGGTTACATTACATGAGCACAGGAGGCGACAGGCGATGGCGGCACGAAGGGCAGTCCGACCGGCCGATCTACACCGGTCAGACTGGAGCAGTTAGGCTGGTCTGATTGATCTCCATCGATTTCGAGTGCGACATTTAATTTCGCTATAAGTTTTTGGTTTTTGTTGATCCTATAATTCACCTTTTCCCTCTAGTAGGCTTAGTTCTTTTGTTTGATACTATAGCGTTGTTAAGACGACAGCTCTGAGGCCTACATCGCCACTGCTGCTAACATCGTCACATGGGTTCTGACTGCAATAGCTCAACTCTCTCTTGTGAAATGAGGACACCCAAAGGCCTCGTAAAAACTTATCCCACGTGCACGTAAAACGGAGCGACTTATTAGTGCATGATTAATTAAGTATTAGTTAATTTTTTAAAAAATGGATTAATATGATTTTTTAAAACAACTTTCCAATAGAAAAGCTTTGTAAAAACCACAATGTTTAGCAGTTTAAAAATCGTACGTGTGAGAAACGATGGTGATGAGTTAGGAAATATGGCTGCTGAACACAGCCTAGTCTCTTTTACTCGTAGCCTCATTTGCAGCACAACCGAGAGATTAACATCTGCATTCTATATGGCATATATTAAGGATAATTCTTCCCGTGTTATTGTCGGAGAACAATTAAATCCGAATTATTTCTATATATGTACTGACACTACTAGAAACATTTTTTCTGAACAAGACCCCCCTTTAAATTGTAGATGGGTCGTAACTGGTCACATCTACAAAAATCGAGAACATTTTTGCATACAACCACTAAGATACATGAAAAAAATGATTTTCGCAGACGGATCTCTTAACATACCCGCATGTAAAATGGGTCTATTTTAACAGGCAGGTCTCTTAAGGATCCACTTAGAAGTTCGACTTGCCTCCTTTTCTCTCTCAACACTTCAAAATCTTTAAAGTCATCATCCTTACCTTCTGTCCATCTCTCTCACCCCCTCTCCTCGTTATTTTGAACCTCCTCTGAGTTCTCTCCTCTCTCTCACCTCCTCTCCTCTTTTCTCTCTCACTGGCCATCGGCAGGTGCGGTTGGCTTAGTGACCTCGAGCGGTCAGCTGCGGGCGGATCTTCCTCCATCGGTCCCACGACGGCTGGATCTGCCACCGCCAGCATTTGGGTGCAGATAGGAGTTAGGGTTTTGATTTTTAGGGATTTTTATATTTTTGGAATTTTATTTTGGGTGACATAAGCACACGCGTGCGAAATCAATGCTCATGTGTGGTTCGCCACCCACATGGTAAAATAATGATTTTCGTAGACTCTTTTGAGCAGACGGGCTGCTCAATCGCACGAAAAATAGGATTTGACCGTTTGGAAACATGCTTTCTGTACTAATGTGACTCCTACAATTTGTTGCGGGATATTTGAATGGTGTTAAATGTTGTATAAACAATGGATGGATTTGGACTGAAATATTATGGAAATAATTTAAGGATGACAATTTAACATGTGTATGTTGATTTTTAGAATTTAATAAATTATAAATGTCATTATTATGCTTTACATGTTGAGCTTTAAGTGTTTACTTGGTTGATACGGTATACTTGTATGTTAGACTTTAGGAGTATTAATAAATACTGTCTCGCATGTTGAGCTTTAAATACTTAGTATATGTATAATGTATGGTAAGGATAGAGATATAACCATGCTTTCACTCAATGCACTATTCTTGCTTTGGGTGATGGGTACAGAACGATAGAGACTTGGGGGGGAGGGGGGAGGGGCTAATGGGCGATCGCCCAGCGATCAGATTCGCCCCCTCCCTCATATAGGCAATACCTCCTTCCTCTTCTCCCCTTCCTCCTCCCCTTCTTCTCTTACTACTACAGTACACCACAAAAATTTTTAAAAAAAACAAAAGTTAGAAAAATTTATATATAGAAATACTATATATAAAAAATTTGAATTCAAATTTAAATTTGAATCGGGTATATAAACTTTTGACTTATAAACTTTGGGTCTATAAACTTTAGGTGTATAAACTTTAGATGTATAGAAAATATTTGAATTCAAATTCAAATTTGAATCAGATATAATTCAAATTCATATTTGAATCGGGTATGTAAAGTTTTGACTTATAAACTTTAGGTCTATAAAGTTTAGGTGTATAAACTTTAGATGTATAGAAATACTATATATAGAAAATATTTGAATTCAAATTCAAATTTGAATCAGATGTAATTCAAATTCAAATTTGAATCAGATGTAATTCAAATTTAAATTTGAATCGGGTATGTAAACTTTTGTCTTATAAACTTTGGGTGTATAAACTTTAGGTGTATAAACTTTAGATGTATAGAAATACTATATATAGAAAATATTTGAATTCAAATTCAAATTTGAATCAGATATAATTCAAATTCAAATTTGAAATGGGTATATAAACTTTTGACTTATAAACTTTAGTCTATAAACTTTAGGTGTATAAACTTTAGATTTATAGAAATACTATATATAAACAATATCAAATTCAAATTTGAATCGGATATATAAACTTATGACTTATAAACTTTGGGTCTACTTTAGATGTGTAAACTTGAGGTGTACAAACTTTAGGTGTATAAATTTATTAAAATAGGAAAGTAATGCGGTGCCAAAAAAGGAAACAAGGTGGAGGAAGGGAAGAGGAGGGGGAGGGGGAGGGGGTGCGAATTGATCGCTACCCCCGTCGCCAGGCGAGCAATCGCTCATTAGCATTTCCGAGAGACTTGTACACACTGCAAACTTGAAAAGCGATATGGGCTATAAATATATCGTAGGATTGAAGATCAATATATATCTATACCTAATAAAAAAAATACGTAAGGATTTTCTATCCACCCAAATTATAATTAACCCAATAAATAATATATCTATCTTGAAACATTATTATGATGTTAACTGTGTACTTTACAGCATTCAACCATTCATTTTACCCGTAACGAAGCATGTGCATTTTACTACTAGTATATATACTACTACTACTTGTACAAACTTAGACTGACGACATGTAGACTATGGCACGTAGATGCAGGGCTGAAGACGAAGGTCGATAGCTCATTCGTCGTCGAAGAGGCTGAAGACGATGTCGTCCTCCCCCTCCTTCTCCTTCTCCTCAACCTTCTCCTCCTCCTCCTTCTCCCCAGCTGCCGCGGCGCCACCGGCAGTGGCGGCGGCGGCGGCCGGAGCGGCGCCGAAGGCGAGCATCTCGCTTCCGGCGGCCAAGATCTCGGCGAGGTCCTTGCCGGCGACCTGGTCGAAGAGGTAGCCGAGCTTGTCCTCGTCGATGTCGGCGCCGACGGCGCCGAGGATGGCGCGCACGTCGTCCTTGGTCGGGCTCGCGTTGCCGCCAATGGTCGCCATCAGGTACGCCGCCACGAACCTCATTGTTTGCCTTCTTTGAATCGAAGCTAGCTGACGACTCGAACGACGACCAAATGAAAACTGAACTGAGCTCACGGTTGCTGCGCTAGCTCTGGTGGTGGTGGTGGGATACGATCGATCGAGGTCGAGGAGGACGAGGAGCGCTTGTATTTATAGCGTGGGGCGGGGTAGTGTGGTGTGGTGAACTGGTACGAGTCGGGCTCGTGTACGGGGATGTCCTTTTCCCGATCGGATGCCGCAGTTTTGATGGCGATTTCATGGCCGCGACGAAAGGGTCGATCGAAGTGGAGATGATCACGGTCACGGATTAACTCTGTAACTGCGCACACACTACTTAAAAAAAAAGCCTTTAGTTGTCGGTTATCAACTCCACGTGATGCTGAATTTAGAAACCGGCACCCAACAGGAGGTGCTAAGGGGTGAGGCTAATGGGCGGGTGATCGCTAGAGCGATCAACCCGCCCCTTCCCCCTGTACTCCTCTCCCTTCTCTCCTTTCATCATAATTTTAAAAAAAAAAACAAAATTAGTAAAAAAAATAGAAAAAAAATAATACTCTCATTCACGTGCATAGACTTTATACCGTAAATTTTGCACGCATAAACTTTATGTATAGAATATATAAAATATTTGAATTCGAATTTGAATTTGAATCGGGTATACAAACAGGTGGATAAACTTTAGATGTGTAAACTTTAGGTGCATAAACTTACTAGAAGAGGAAAATATAAAATATTTGAATCAGAATTTGAATTTGAATCGGGTATATAAACTTTTGACCTATAAACATTCGCTCTACAACTTTAGGTGGATAAACTTTAGAGATATAAACTTTAGGTATACAAATTTTAGATGTATAAACTTACTAAAATAGGAAAGTAAAGCAGTGCAAAAAAAGAAAACTGCGTGGGGGAGGGGATCTGATCGCCCCAGGCGATCGATTGCCCAATAGGATTTCCGGGTGCTAAGGGCACTCATAGTGTGTCACTAATTTTTGAGGAGCCAAAACTTCCATCTAGACTAAAAACTTCGTAAGCAACAAACTCCATAGTGCATGTGGTCTACGTTTTCCTTTACAGTGGGTCCCTCCCATTCTCTATCCTCACTTTTTATCTCTCCTCTCTTTCTCTGCCTTTCCCCACTCGCTCCCCCTCCTCTACTGCGCCGCCGGCGCCCCTCTCCCTCTCTGGATCTGGCGGCTGGCCGGCGGCGAGGCGGCGCGGAAGCCGGCGGCGGACGACCCCGTGGCGGTCTCGGCGGGAGCGAAGTCTCGGTCGGAGCGGCCTAGGCGACAGCGGCGGTGGCGGATGGAGCGGCGGTGACAGGCGGCGGAGGATGGAGCGGCGGCCACATGTAGGGATGAAAACGGAGCGGATAGTTTCCGTCCGCTCCGGCAAAAAACGAATACGGATACCTTTCGGATCGGATAATTCTCGGATAGTTCGGATACAGATACGAATACGGATATTTTCTCCCGGATACGGATACGAATATGGTATCGGGGTTTCCGTCAGATACAGATAATAATTCGGATATCCGGTGAACAGTGCTATTTGGATATCCGCAGAAGCCATGAGACATACCCCATTTCTTTATAACTCTATGACCTTCAATATACATTTTTAGATTTTAATAGTGGTTTATCTCTTAACACTAGTCCACACTATTAATATTATTTAAATTTTTAAAAATATTTATAAATTATACTACATTTAATATAAAGTGAGCTAATTATATAAGTTGATATTTGTTTCTATTAGAAGTTGGTTTTCGTGTTCCGAGAAAAAATTGTTTTCGTATTCGTGTCCGATCATATTCGATTCTTATTCGTATTCGAGATAATCCATATTTGTTTCCGTATTCGAGCTATCTGTATTCGTTTTCGTATCCGGTAAAAAATATGAAAACGAATACGGTATGAGCATTATCCGTCCGTATCCGCTCCGTTTTCATCCCTAGCCACAGGCGGCGGAGGATGGAGCGGCGGCCACAGGCAGCGGCGGCGGACGACGCGGTGGCCCAGGCGACGGAAGTGGAAGACGCGGCAGCCTAGGCGGTTGACAGAGTGGCGGCGGGACGGTCCCAGCACTGGACGGAGCGCCGGCGTATCCAGTGAAGGCGCCGGGCAGATCGGTGATGGGATGACCAGATCCAGCCGGATCTAGCGTCGGGCGGCGACGGTGGTCCAAGCGGCGGCTGCGCCGGCCAAAGCGGCGGGCGACGGCGGTGGCGAGTCGGGGCGGGATGGCGCGGAGCTCGAGCTCCTCTCCGGCGGCCGCTCACCCCACCGCCGTCGCGGCTCTTCCTCCCCACAGTCGGCGCCGCTCTCTCCTTCACCGATGGTGCGGCGTCGGCGGGAGCTCGGGCTCGGCGCGGATGCGGTTTCTCCGGCGAGCTTCTCCCCTTCCCCCTCTCTCCAGTGAGCTTCTCCCCTCCCCTCCTCCCTCTCTGGCTTTCTTGCCATAGAGCGATGCGTGTGATTCGTTTTTCTCTGACAAAAGTTGTTTCGTACTGACGCTCTCGGAGCCAAAGAAGGGTACATGAACCCGGTGTAGTCATGGGCCCCACCTCCATTTCTCCTCAACACATGCATTTTGCCAACGTGGACAACGATTGCCACACGCCACCTCACTGCACTGTGAATGGCCTAACGAGGAGTTGTATTAAACCGGCACCTTTGAGATACTAGCGTGGGACGCGCGCTTCGCGCATCCAGAGCAAGTGTAATCGGCCCATCTTCCGGCCCATATCCGGCCGTGCCGCACCAGCCCATGATTACCCGCTGCCACTATGTGGGTCCACAGATATTGTGTGTGGTGCATAATGTGGACAATATACGAATAACAACGAAAAACTTTAAAATCGATATTTTTAAGTACGTATTTTTTTACCGTCGTCAGAAAAACACGACATATTAGAGTCCAAGCACCATCCATCATCCATCGTCCACGCATGAGTCGTGACACGATGCATCTCCAAGTGAGTCTGTGTTCGATTTTGTAAATGATATTATGCTATCAATGCGCAATAGTTTTTTCTATTCACCCTAATTATGATTAACCCAATGAATAATTTATCTATCTTGGAAAATTATTACGATGTTAACTCCGTTCATTTTACCCGTAGCGAAGGTTACTGGCATATTTTTTTTCGTCCGTATTTTTTCGCTATTTTCACCGTATTTTTCTTTTTTTTTCGTCGTCCGCTTTTTTTTGTCGTAGGCTCTTCAGACCTTCCATTATAATTGAGAAATGAAATGAATAATTCAAGTCATCAAACAAGCATAATGAAATATCTGACGCCTCGAGAGAGGAATATTGGAGATATTGCTGGGTCTTTAGCATACCAATCAACTTCAGCCTGAGATGTGCCCGTCAAACCACTCGAAGGTGGCGACCAGATGTATTACACATTCAGGAGACTTGATAAAAATAGCTAAAGATATACAACATCTGAAATATTCCTAACTCATACTCATGTGAATCTAGTTCCCAGGATATGCACTAGATTCACACTTTCATCTTAAGCATGAATATACATAGCAAATTACATCTAAAGCAAATAAAATTCAGATTACAACTACTAAATAGATACATAGGCCGACCGGCCAAATATAACTATATCAGAGAGCAGCAGAAGCTTGACTACCCAATCCTCAAGCACACCAACTAGAGGTTTACCCCATTAAGTACAAATCCTAAAAGAAGCAGTCGAAACCCACATCACTCAAACTAAACTAAGTCTATTCCTACAAAACATAAATTAGACAAAACATGGCTAGACTCAGTACATTCATAATGTACTGGTAAGAGCACTATCAAACCTATATACATGAAAGCTCTAAGTCAAAGAAAGGCTATATGTGGTTTCAATTTTCAGCATAAAGTAAATTTTAGTTCACAAAACATTTGCAACGTAATTTAAGCAACGCATTTTAGCAATGTGTAAGGCATAATAATCATGGCATGATATCAACATAATTAGATAGAATCCTGATCTGGACTTTTTTCAGACGGTGGTTTTGGCTCGCATTCAGTTCAGTCAGAAGGGATTTTTGGAAATTTTCTTCATTGCTGCTTGGCACATTTGGAAGAAAGGAATGGGAAAATCTTTCGAAATGAGCTTCCCTCATTCAGTTCTTGGAGGGCTTTATTCAAAGCCGATGTTCTTCTGCATTTGTGCAGAATGAAGGATCCCCTAAAACAGATAGTTTTTGATTGGTTACAAACTGTGTAATATTTTGATCTTTTTGTTTCCCTTTTGATCTCTTGTAAATAACTTTCTATTTATAAAATCACACTGCGAGGTAAAGTCCTAGCAGTATTTCCAGTAAAAAAAATAATTAGATAGACATCATTCCCTTACAACACAAAGGGAAGTAAGGCAATCATATCACATATATCAATCTCATCATCATCTCAAAACATTTAGTTTCAAAAGCTTTTAGGCTGCGTTCGTTTGCGTGATATAGGGTGAGAAAGCACCTCGTTTTCCGCGCGCACGCTTCCCAAACTACTAAATGGTGCGCTTTTTGCAAAAAAAAATTTATAGGAAAGTTGATTTAAAAAATAATATTAATCTATTTTTGAAATTTAAAATAGTTAATACTCAATTAATCATATGCTAATGGCTCACCTCGTTTTACGTATCTTCCCAATCTCCTTCTCCTCAAACTCACCCTTAGAAATCATGAGATTATACCCATAGCACATCATTATGTCGCTCATGACTGTGAGCACAGCTAATCGATTAGTTTTTAGAACTCTGCAGAGTTTGTACAGCTTTACCCACATGATATGAACACTCTAGTTTGTTTTGAGTTTGCAAGACTCCACCACACTCTTCATGTTGAATGTGGTCTAGAGGTCATAACGAGTCTTTAACATTAAGTATTGTCTAATCTTGCATGAGCAAGATACGTGTTCCTCTATCCTAGGCCATATGCCATACACGTTATATGACCTAGAACCGTTAAGTGGCGGGCCCACGCTTTAAACTTAACGCCGTGGTGACGGACACAACGGGAACCCACCATGTGGCACAATATCGTTGTATTGGACACACTTAGACGCCCATGCTGTGAGGCGGAACAGTACACTCGTCCCTCACGGAAATCACACACGTAGGGAATTTATCATCCTACGATCACACATTTAGGAACAGTACACTCGTCCTAAGGTTCAACATACACATGGGTAGTTCCTCTAGGTAGCCCACAGTACACTCGTGGCCCCTACCTATACTACAACAGCCTCCCGAATGCAAGATTAGACAAGTGTTTAACTTAATAGGCCAAGACCCCCCCATAAAGACACATGTGGATGTACGGTAAACACAATGGGTGATATGATGTTCGGTCCTTAATCGACTCAGGCGAACACTCCCTCTATCGGTATGCAACTACTACCATATGCATACCACTTACCGCCAAAGTCTAAAATCACATTTTATCTCATTTTATTTCACAAATAATCAGAGAATCACCTCTGTCCATATTGTTCAAAAGGGTTTTCAAAAGTATAATAAGTGATCCATAACCATGTTTTTATTTATTACTAAGCAAGGCTAAGCATTTGCACTTTATAAAAGCATAGCATACTCATATGAGCACAATTAAAGTACTCTAATTAATCCTAAGGTTCAAAACAGCAAGGGGTTATTTTCAAAAGGGAATTCATGCATCTTTTAATGGTACAACTATAATCTATAGTTTTGA